GAAGTCACTGGTCAGATGTCTGGTCTCTTTATTCTCCAAACTTAACAGTAAGTTTATACCATACAGTGCATAATACTCCTTGCTCCTCCTTCCCCCACAACAACAATCCTGTGGGGTGGTTTGGGCTGAAAGTGAATGACTGGCTCAACGTCACCCCTCCGATTTTCATGGCTAAGGCAGGACTAGAACTCCCTAGAAATCCTGGTTTCTAGGCCAGCGCCTTGATCACTACATCAAACTAGCTTTGAATGTACATAACATTCTCCCCTAAAATTAAACACAAAAGAAACCACTGCATCATTACCATCTATCATTATTATTAGCTTTAGCATTTGCATTTGTATTCCATTTTTCCTTGGGAAGCTCAAGGCAGTATTTATAAGGTCTCCTAATTTATCTCCACAGAAGGAAATGTGCCCCAGGAGAGAGACAGAGAGTAGTCATCCCATAATCACTCCAGTGTATATCTGGGGACCTGAATATGAAGTTCTCCATCCCTAAACCAGCAACTTAGCCATTATATTATACCGGTTCTCATTAATATCTCAAACAAGAAAAGGTGAGAAAAATCAAAAGCAGAGGAATAAGAGAGGGTTTTTATTTTGTAATTGTTTCGTTAACAGAATTTTATGAGTGGTCCAGATGACACCGGCCTCTGTTTTTAAAAGCTTCCTGGATCTTCCCATTGCTCTTCTTGTCACTTTCATTTCCAGAGTAAATCTGTTAAGGAGGGGGAAAACCCTGCTGACAGGACATATTTCAGAGAGGTAACAAATAAGAAAAAGGAAAGATGACGAAGAAATGGTCATATGTGAAGCCTGTAAATATACTTGAATTGCGGCTTCATCTCAGCATTTGTTCTCATTTAGCTACTAAATTAGTTCATTTTGGAAGGAGAACTCCATAATGGAATGTTCCATAAAGGAAGACCTTCCACTATGCAAAGTGAGTTTTCCAAATTCATTTTTTTCTCCTGCCCTCCCTCTCCCTCGGGGCATAAATCCTGCCATCTCCATTGCTACCATCAGATATCCAGGTTCCAATTTATAAATCCTCAGATGTTTATTGAGTTCCCATCTATAATTTTGCCATCCAATTATAACAATTATACTTTCCACACGTTATTTGTTTGTTTGTTTGTTTATTTTTTCACAGCATCTTATTCCTGTTCAGTTAAACCATATTTCTATTAAAACATCTTTTGTTCATTAGAGTGAAGAAAAGAAAGTCCTGACAGTGAAAACTGAAATAGGAATTAACAGCAAAAGATCACTATTCCAGCCACATAACAAACACACCTTACTTTATTGTTTTAATCACACTTTTGATTTTTTCACCTACCCAGCATCTTTCAATTTAAAAAACATCTTATTAAAAAAAAGAGCAGAAAAGCTAGACTAACAGGACAAGTGCAACACAAATGTAAAAATCAGTGTATGAAACGGTGTCATCTATTCTAAGAAATTCCTGGGTTATCAGCAAGTTAGTTGCCTTTTCGTTCTAACCAAAAAAAACAACTAAAAACCAAAAAGCAATCCTCAATTATGATGGGCCCCAAAAAAGTACTTACAGCTTGGATTAAAAGTTCCAAAAGCTGCCCCCGCAACACATTCTGGGTGCCCAGCAACTGGTCTGTGTTTATGGCTGTTTGCAGCATCCTGCAAGCTCATTTGATTTATGATGTCTTGCCAGAAAACAGCATTTTCTTCTTGTTTCTAGCAAAAAATGCTCCATAGCAAACTATTGGTTCACTAAATGATTGTGAAATTCACTAAACGATGGGCATAAAAAAGGACATAACGCTCTCGGCTTCATTGACAAGGAAAGTCTCATGGGTGTTAAAGAATTCCAGAACTACAATCTTGCTTCCGAAATGCTGGATGGAGGACAAATGCTTTTCTAAAGGATGCAATATTAAACTTTGTTGTGGGCCCCAAAGTAATGATGGCTAACCGATATCAGTCATAGCGCTTACCTGCTATAACTCCAGCAATATAGACAAATCCAATCCTTGTTGCACCATGAACCATTTCAAGGGGAACTCCAACCAGAAGCTGAAGGACTACGTTGAGTCCAAGGTGTTCTATCCTGAGGAAACAGCACTGTTTACTTTTATTCACTTTACTTTATTATTATTATTCCCTGAGTGATGTTTTGTAAAAATATTATGAAAGCCTTTATATAGCCCCCTTGATAAAATATTATTTACTTTAAAAGACAATTTAAAAGCACTAGACTGCCTAGCTTCTTAGTTTTCCAAAGAACATTCAAACAGACATGCTTTTTAATTTAAAAATAATAATTACGGTTCAAGAATTTTGTCTGATTAGGTCTACATATTTAACCACCAAACTCAATTAACAATAATTATTATATGTTAGTCACAATTAATTTATTATTAATCAATCAGACATGGTAATTAAGACCATGGATTGGTACAAATCTGAACTTGAATGATCTGGATAATTTCGGGCAAATGCAAGGTATTACTCCCTGCTCTGCTATCTTGCTGAGGGCAGAAATCTTTTACACCAAAGATGTGAAAATAACAAAAAAAAAGCAAATGAATGAACGATCCAGCCTTTAGTGTTCCAATGGGTATCTCCAATGGCAGTGGCACATTATCTCTTTATGGACAATGCTGTTTGAGAAGGTTCGGCAATTTAAAAAGGTTTAATGCCTTCAGATGGGAAATAAATAATTTGGAAGCACTGGAAATTTTTAAAAGATGAAATGGAACCGTTTTGCCTTTGAATTCCTTTCCTGAAAGACTGATAAAACATTTTGAGCCCAGTCATTCCAGGGCAATGTAGAAGCTGCAAATCAGAGGCTGTGGAGCAACACATAGCGGTTGTCAGATGTTCATCCCTGTTCTAAAGAATGATGCAGAAAAATCCCTGGCCTGAAGAATAGAAATTAAAAGTCATGGCTATAAATATGACCAAAATAGAGTAAGGAAGTTATGAAAACACTCAGAAAGGATCTTTTTTCTGTATTCTACCAAAAGTTGTTTGAAAAATAAGTAGTTACATTTTAGATAAACCTCGCATTGGAGAGCTGTGTATTTTAAAAGTCTATACCGAAGAAACATATATGTCAAAGAATGAAAAGGAAATTATTTGCGTTTGTTTTTAAGCTTCTTGAACAATCAATGTTAACACAATGTTAAGGAAAATGTACACTCTCTGTTAAGAGATTTTGCACATATAAACAGCTATATTTTGTTTCTAAACTCCAGAAGTAAAAACCCCACAAGGTTTGAACACTGCATAGTGTATAATGTGGTCAGTAAAGTGCACAGGATTTTAAGCAACTAGTGAAAAATGAAACGGCTACTTCATTATTTAACAAGAACATTAAAGGAAGAGATGGAGACTGCAAAAAGATTTAATTCTTTATATCTAGACTTCATCCCCCTCAAAAGTTGGATCCATGAACCATTCTGCTTGAATAGCACAAATAAAAGGCGATAAATGAACTAATTAAAAATTTGTCAGTCTCCCGAGCCAGATGGTATGTGTCCAAGAATACTGAACAGCTCAGTTGTTCAAGATTTGCCATCTGATGTTAGGCCCAGATTTTCTTGTAGAGTAGTTTTTTTTTTTAAAAAAAATCCTGATTATCATAATTGTTTAACTGGAGGCAGGGCGGATTGCAAACTCTCTGTGTGAGCATCCTTATACAATAATCACCTATCATAATATTTAACCAAAATATGTTGTTTTTAGAGTGCAAATGAGGGGGAAAGTTTGAAACAAGATTTTAAAATCTACCCTTTCCCTTATACTGAAAGAATCACAACTAAATGCAAGCTAAATGAGAAGAAACGTCATGGGAAGATTCGTGGTTTTACCCTAACAATGAATTTAACCGTCTTTAAAATTGCAACTCTTGAAGTGCGATGATTTATTTCTGCCCATGTTTCTGCTTGCCCAGTGTTTGACTGGTCCTTTAAAAATGAGCCTTCCATTCAGCTAAACGGCTCCTGCTTCTGCAGCAGCCAAGCACATCAGTATCCCATAGTCAATAAGGGCCCATAAAACATAATTAGCTTTCACATGCTCTGAATGTGTCATTCTTTGGATGACAATATAATTGATTTATCCAAGTTTCCCCTTCTCTGGGACCAAGCAAGCGGGCCCTTGAATCAATGCAATTCATTAGTTATGGCAGGAATACAAATGGGTGGGGCCCCGCAGACCATTCTGCCTTAAAGCCGAAAGCTAAAATTTACAACTGTGGGGGTCTTAGAAAGCTTCCCCGCACCCACCCATCCCCCGCCGTCAGGACTGAAATATGAACAGCACATGTTTGGGGATTCTCTGAGGAAGCACAAACAGCCCCTCAATGACTCCCTTCTCCCAGGGTATCTTCTAGCTGTAATTCGCCCCACCAAAATGCAGATCAGCATAATAAATTAAGAGATCCGCATTAACATTTTAAAGTCACAGCAGGAAGCAGGGCAACAATAGATTTCATCACCTTTGTGAACATTTGCCTTTTGGTGGAAGGGTGAGGTGGGAGGCAGAATAATGGCCTCATTGTTTAAAAGCACAAATACCATTATTACTTTGTTTGAGAATTATTTTGTTCTCCAGCTGGTGAAATAATCTAAATTCAGGCAACTTGGCTGGAAGTGATTGCTAAGCATTTTAAATATTACACAGTTTTCTTAAAAAAACAGCCATCCCTAACACCTATTGCTTCTCGAGTGGAGAATGGGTGTGCGGCTGGGATGGTTTGCACTTGCAAAGGGTATAGAATCTGCCAAAAAATATAATCATCCAATGCCAGTTCAGTCTAATATGTACAGAAGGCAGACTTTGGATACTTGATCTTCTGAGAGATCCCCCTGGAAACCAGCCAAGGGTGTGTAAAAAAAACAAAAAAACAACCCAGGATAATTAAAAGATTCAGCACATTTTTCAAGCCACACAGCAGCCTAGTGGCAACAAGATACTTGTCAAGACAAAGGTTAGCTTTTTGGGAGTAAGAAAAGTGTTCTGCAATATGACTAAAGTGCTTTGAAAACTTTCGAGGTTCCAGGGTGGCTGGCTGTGTTTAAAGTAAGTCAATGCCTTTCATTCAAAGAAATCCCAGAGAATTTAGGGTGCCTGATTTTCTTCACATACGTTGAGCTTAAGTTTCCGTAGTGCCCAGCTAGAAATTGGAAGATCAGAGAACATGATAGGATAAAACCAGATGTAATTTAATATCTTTTTAATATCTTTAAAATAAAATTATAATAAGTGCATGGAAACTTTTAGGGTATGCAAATATAGGTAGTCCTGACATACAACGGTTCATTCAATGACTGTTCGAAGTTCCAAGGACGCTAAAAAAAGGGATTAATGACCATTTTTCATATTTATAACCATTACAGCATCCCTATGATCGCGTGATCAAAATCCAGACACTTGGCTAACCATATTATGACAATTGCAGTGTCCTGGAGTCAGGCTTTTTGTGATCACATGACACCAGCAAAGTCAATGGGGAAGCCAGATTCACTTAACAACTCTGTGAGTAACTTAACAACTGCAGGGATTCACTTCACAACTCTGGCAAGAAAGGTTGTAAAATGAGGCAACTCACTTAATCAATGTCTCACTTAGCAACAGAAATTTTGGTCTCAATTGTGCTCGTAAGTCAAGGACTACCTGTACTGTATTGCCATTAGAAGGACTGGGCAATATCCTCACAGATTAAACAACAGCAAAAAAGCTCTCATTAGGAAGTGTGTACAAATTAAATATTTTCTGCAAATCTGATAGGACAGTTTATTTATTGGCAAAAGGACCAAAATGTTCCAATTAGATTTGGTGGTCCCAGTTGGATAAGCTCCCTGCTTGATTCTGAAATGGCTATTAAGTAAAATCTGCTACTATTTCCAACGTTGCATTATAGTCAGGGATCTTAAGTAATTTCAGGACTGACCCAATGTTAAAGTTCTTGTTTTCTTGCCAGACATAACTCAGTGAATCCTTGAGGTCCTGCCTGGGAATCTCCATTGATGATAAGGTTGAAACAAGAGAGAGGCAGCCCTAAGGCAGGGGTGTCAAACGCGATTTCATTGAGGGCCGCATCAGGATTGTGTTTGACCTCGGGAGGCCGGGGTGAGTGTGGGCGTGGCCAGGGTGGGTGTGGCTAGCTCAACGTCATTTGTGCCAGGGACACCGGTGGTGGCCCGAGCGTTCTGCCAGTAAAAATGGGCTCCTGAGCTCAGTTTTCAGCTGCGACGGCCTCCTACAACCCTCTGCCAGCAAAAACGGCCCTCCCGAGCTCCATTTTTGCTGGCAGAGGAACCGTGGGCCGGTCCTTCGCTGTTTCCAGGATGGCCCTGCGGGCCAGATCTAAGCAGCCCATGGGTTGGATCTGGCGTGCAGGCCTTGTGTTTGACACCCCTGCCCTAAGGCCATGCTTCCCAAACCTGGGTAAATTACACAAAATTGAATAAAAGTGGTTTTTCTTTGGATAATGACATGCAAACCCATTACCCGAACACAAACAAGGACACTTCAACTGACTTAAAGTTTTTTTACCTACATTGGGTAAAAAGAACATTCAGATTAGTGATTTTGGATAATGAAGAACAAGGTTTGGGAAATATGCCCTTAGGGGATGAAGGCAAGCTACACTTAGTCCTCTACTTATGACCACAACTGAGCCCACAATTTGGAAGTTGTTAAATGAGTTTTGCCCCATTTTACGACTTTTCTTGCCACAGTTGTTAAGTGAACCGCTGCAGTTGTTAAGTTAGTCACCTGGTTGTTGTTAAGTGAATCTGGCTTCCCCATTGACCTTGCTTGTCAGAAGATTGATCAAAAGGCGATCACATGACCCCGGGACACTGCAACCGTCATAAATATGATTAAGTTGCCAAGTGCCTGAATTTTGATCATGCAACCATGGAGATGCTGCAATGGTTGTAAGTATGAAAAGCAGCCATAACTCACTTTTTTCAATGCCCTTGTAACATCAAATGGTCAATAAACAAATGGCTGTGAGTTGAGGATTACCTGTACCTAGCAAAAGACGCTCCTAAGATCAGATTGAAAAAGGCAACAGCAAACTGTTTTTGTATTTGTTGCCTAGAAAATTGTATAGATATGATTCTAATAACTTCAATGAATGTGAGTGATAGATGATGAGATCTACCAGCTGAGAAGACTTCCACAAGTAGATCTGGAAGTAACAGTATAATCATATTCAGAAATGGACTCAATTAAAAAAACGGAATAAGACAATATACCATTGTGAAACAGGAAGGCACCAAACACAGATGACACTTCCACTGAATTGCTTAAAGCTGTAGCGAAGAAGTGTTTAAAGGTCTAATAGCTTTGTTTACACAAATATGGAACAGATGGTGTGAAAAAGTTTGGTACATACAGTGACACCAAAGAAGAGAGATGCAAGAGAACGTAGAAATTATCAAACCATTGCACTAATTTGCAATGGAAAGTGAATTTGTTCTTAAGATCTTACCAGGAAATTTAGAGCTATACACAAAGAGGAAAAAAAGCCACACAAACAGGGAGATTTCAGAAAAGGCAGAGGGACACAAATTCAATAGATTATGTCAGATGAGTAACAGAAAGAGAAAGGGAATACAGGTAATCCTCAACTTAAGACTGTCAACTAAGCTCAAATTTTCTATTGTTAAGTGAGAAAGTTGTACAGTAAACGTTGCCCCATTTTACAATCTTTCTTGCTACAATTGTTAGGTGAATCAGTTAAGTGATAAGTAACACAGTTGCTAAGTGAATCGGGTTATGAATCCCCATTGATTTTGCTTGTCAGAAGGTTGTAAAAGATGATCCCATGACCTCCGGGGACACTGCAACCGTCATAAATATGAGGCAGAATCAAGCCTCCGAATTTTGATCATGTGATCACGGGGATGCTGCAATGGCCATAAATGTGAAAAAGAGCCATAAGTCACTTTTTTCAATGCTGTTGTAACTTTGAACAGTCACTACATGAATGGCTGTAAGTTGAGGATTACCAGAACATTGAACTGCAAATTAAATTTAAAAAAATGCTTTTTATCCTACCATGTTATAGGAACCCAGCCTATCTGGTTAGTGTTTATGGTTCAGTGGTGAACACCCAGAAATTTGGATGGTATGCAACCATAGGTGACTAGGAATTATGGTAGGGACACTGCAGGAAATTAAAATGGCACATAGCTGCCCACATGGAAAGCTGATTTTAAAGAGGTGAGGCACAGAGGGCCATGCTGTGATATTGGACCCTGAGGGCTGCCAAGTATGCCAACTGCAAGGTCTTCCTTACCCTCTTCCCCTAA